TCCAGCGCCTCGAGGTCGTCCTGGGAGGCTGACTGTACAATGATGTCGGCGTGAGCAAGGTGAGGGACAGGAATCACTCTGGGAGAGTTTCTTCATGTGACTGATTGCTGAGGCCGCATTGAACGCTTGCTGTGGGGACATTTGAAAAAAAAGGAGGATGATTGTACCAATGTCTTAAATGTGGAAAGAGACACCTTAACATTTAATCTGCTGTCACAATAAGCTGTTATTACCTTCCACTTTGATTTGGCAAAGTTTTCTCCAGCTGTTGACAGACTGACTGATAAATGTCGATGTCCTTAGCTACGTTATCAGCAATCCTACAAATGAGTAAATAACAAAAGATTAATTTAGAAAAAAAAAAAAGACTGCATTCGTTTGTGTGTGTTGGTGTCTGGATACTAACCAGGGGTGTCTGAGGGCCTGTTCTGACAGGAAGCGTTTATTTGGGTTTTTCTCCATCATGTTCCTGATAAAGTCTTTGGCTGTTGAAACAAACAGAAACAACTGATTTAAATCCAGCAGCATAACCTCTACATTGGACACATTCACTCACAAGCAGCACTACTCTTAAGATGCAGTCACACTAATGAATAATAACTAATCAACTGGGTCCTGTGATGTAATGTCCTTTGCATTATTATTCAGGTCTTGAGAGTGATTATTCAATCCTAAATGTTCTCTTTGGGTGAGGAAGTCTTTAGCTCACTGCCTGCTACGCTAATCCCTCAGGCAGGCGAGATCTGTACTTTCCCCTTTTATCATCTTCTGTAACCATATCTGACCTAATCCAAGCAGGTCAAACCTCCATAGCTGCTCTGAGAGGTGAGGTGATGTAATGAGGTGTTCTAGTCGGAATAAGGTTAAGCCAAATCCTGTTCTATACTTAGCGGACACTGAGGTTTGCTGAAGTAATGAGTCTTCTTTGGTCACATTTCATGACAGCAGCCTGTTGCACAACTTCACGAGTTCTCGTTTAGGTGTGATTACGAAATCCAAACTAAAACCCTGCATCAGGGTACGCACTGTAACCTACGACATGGCATTATGTTGGATGATAGTCACCGTTAAAGGAGCAATATGTAACTGAGACACCTAGCATTTGAAATGGGTACTGCAGTCCAAATTCAAAACGTTGGCAAATGCTGTCTCTCCTCGCGCCCTCCTCAAATAAAATCCTAACAACACTCACTACAAGTCTGGTTCTAGTCCAGGACCAGGACGCAGACAAATAGCAAAGAGTGGATGTCTTAAAGTGACTGAAACTCCATTTGATAAAGCGCAAACATCTCAGATGTTGTCGTACCTGACTCAGAGATGTCGTCCCAGAAGGGTGAATGAAAGGCGTACTCGGCTCTCATGATCTTTGAAAACAGACGAGTCTCGTTGTCTTCAAAGAATGGAGGGTAGCCACAAAGCCTGCAACGCAGAAACAGCAAAAGAGAACTCAGCAACAAAGATCCCGACACATATCGTAAATCTCTCCCATTGAGCCTTTAAATCAAGTTTGGCTTAAATTTGACGTAGAAGCTCCGATTGCTACCTAGCGTTTACAATGGAAATAGTACTCACAAGATGTATGTGATCACTCCAATTGACCAGCAGTCGACTGCTTTGCTGTAGGGTTTCTGGGCCAAAACCTCAGGGGCTGCAGAACGATGCACAATGCGGAACATTAAACAATTAACAAAACAACAAGCCACTCTCCCAAAACACATCAACATGCATGGCCTCTATTTTGGTGCAGAGGAATCTATTAGAATCGGAGTACAAAGGTCATGGTAACCATATCAAACTACCTTTCTGTGATTAGATCCTGAATTACATGTTTTAGAATCATTAATTTTAATATCAGGTATAAAAAGCAGGAGATCAATGAAATAAATAACATAGTATGTTTGTGTATCCCAGTTTGCTCACCGACATATCCGGGTGTGCCGCAGGCTGTCGACATCACGCCGTGCTCCAACGTTTTAGACAGCCCAAAGTCACTGACCATGATCTTTGCATTCTCGTCCGTGTTGTAGTACAGCAGGTTCTCAGGCTGCACAGACAGAGAGAGAGAGAAAGAGAGGGAGAGAGAGAGAGAGAGAAAGAGAGGGAGAGAGAGAGAGAGAAAGAGAGGGAGAGAGAGAGAGAGAGAAAGAGAGGGAGAGAGAGCGAGAGAAAGAGAGGGAGAGAGAGAGAGAGAAAGAGAGGGAGAGAGAGAGAGAGTGGACAATATCCATGAGTAATTTAGTCAATAACAGTGTGAGGGTTAAATTTTAAACTCAGATATGACACACTAGTAAAAGATTGAACGAAATCCGTTCCTGTTTTAATACCACAGCTACAAAAATAGAAATCCAAGGCACCCAATGTTGGTTAACTTCTAGTTACTATGTATGGCCCCTTTCCTGCATTTAATCCCCCCCCCTCGCTCTTCCTGATTTCTGACTCTATCCTCTCTCCTATCTCTAAAATAAAGGCATAAAAAGTCCCAAAAATAAACCTTCTGTACCTTGTCCACGCTATTGATCATTAACTAAACCGAGATTGCATCACTTTAAAACATGTGGGATCACAAAGGATCACAAAGGATCTAAGTATTGAGACTTTAACAACCTGGAATTACTTTGATGACTTGGGACAATGCATCCACTTTCACAATGTTGATTGATTCACGCCGTGTTCAGACTACAGCTCCAACAGATTCTCTAATCAGACGGACTGTCCATCTGATTTTTTTGCAGATGAGATGTGTGTGTGCAAACACCACCAGCCGTTCTGCTTTTGTGGCTGTGAAAACAGCGCTGATGTTTTTATCAAACCACTGTGATTTTGTGACAGAAGCATGAAAAAATAAACAAAGTCCTTTGCATCTTGTCCTGCAGATTATTGAAGTATATTTAATGCACCATGCTCTCTGAGTTTCCTAAAGTTCTGTTAGATTGTGTGATTATTTTTCCTTATTAATTCACTTTTTCCTTTTGTTTAGCAATGCAAGCGACGTAAAAGACACTTTAAAGTTTCAGCTTGATTTGCCAGAGCATGCATATGAGAGGCATTAGTTTCAATCTGGATGAAGGTTTTGTGTGGTGTTTAAAGCTCCTTCTCTTTTTCTACCAGACTTTCTAAAGTATGTCCGCATGTGACCAAAAAAAGATTGGGGCGTCTAGTCTGAACAAAAACTAACATGTTCCCTGGATGACTTTCTTTCTGCACCTTGTCTTAGCAAGACTCTTTTCTCTCCACGTGTGTGAGTGTCTCTGTGTCACCTTTAGGTCTCTGTGCACGATGCTGTTCTCGTGCAGGTAGCTGACGGCCTCCAGCACCTGTCTGATCACCGTGCTGGCGTCCTTCTCAGTGTAAACCCCCTTGTCTAAAATGCGATCAAACAGCTCCCCTCCTGAAACCCTGCAAACACACAAAATACACAAAAATAATCAGTGCCCTCCAACAACACTTTTAAACGGATACTTTTCAATTTAGTGTGGATCTCAAATTGTGTGCTGAATTTTGCAAAAATGAGTGCAGATAATGCCGAGAACATATTAAATTGTACGCTATAAACCTTTTGATGATAAAGAGCACACTTACAGTTGCATGACCAGGTAATAGTGCGTCCGGCTCTCGTAGAAATCCTCCAGCCCAACCACGTTCTCGTGTTTTATCCTGAAACAGGAATAAAGAGGTTTTTAGGAATCAGAGAGAAAATCTCACAGCGCGTTTCACAGCGTTTTCATACATGGATAACAAACAATAATCCCAAACTTTAAACTTCTACAGTTGTTGCGAGCATTAAACCAAACATAGGAAGTCTGCCACTCTCCCATAAAAAGGGACAAAGCAACCAACAAACATACCAAAGTGAAAAAAATGAAGCTCAGCAGGAAGACTGTTTCATACTCCTTCATACATCCATTCATGTCCCTCTCAGGTGATCAGCTGACTGAGGGTTGTTTACTCTTTAAGCACTTATCCAACCAGATTCTGCCACGACCCTAATCGACCGTTCATCCCGCTGCTGTCATATTATAAGTATCTGTTCTCCTCTCTTTCGCTGTCAGATTCAGTTTGATCACAGCGACCCTCCTACACCCCAGTCACTGATCCATGTCATCTCAACAGAGTCCAGGACCAGCTCCTCAGAGATCCTCTCCTGATCACATCCTTCCTACTTCCATCACCAACACGGGGGGTGTCCTATCCTGCTGTCGGCCTCACTACCACACTTGGATACATGAAGACATCATCACCAAAAACATCCATCATTTTTTATTTTTCTAAACTCGTCAATTAAATAAAAAGGTTCATGTTCAGGGTTCAGAGTTCAGGTTCAGGTCCAGGTGACCTTATTTGTACCCGTAGGTAGATTTGTTTGCAGCCATCATGACAGACAGAAAACAAAACGGATGAAACAAGGGACGACACATTAGAGAACAGGAAAACTATTTAAAACCGACTAAAGCTTGATTTTAAAAAACTTAATTACAAAAAATGATAAAAGTGCTCGAGGTTCCACCAATCAGGGCAGAGAGGAGAGAGAAGTCTCAACCAATAAGATCAATAAAAAAACACAAATAATTGAATCCTCTCTTCAGTCAGGATAAAAATAAGTTTAGGACATAAATAAAAGTGGATACGGTTTATTCAGCTCAGTGAGAGCAGCAGGAACAAAGCTATTCTTGTACCTCTTTGTTCTGCACCTCGGGACACTCATGATTAAGTCTCTCCTAATTTAATATATTTAGCTTAACAGGAGATGTGACAGAGAAGACCAAGAATAGACTCAGAATAGACCCGTCTATTTTCCAAACGTGTGCTCTCGAGGCTGAAGAGGCAGCAGCAGTTTCAGGACCACAAATGAGGAGACGTCTGTAGCAGCTCTTTCTTCCTCATTCTCTCGGCTTACAAAGGATCAGATGTGAGAGTTTTAACATGTTTATGTCCAACTCCAGCACTCTTCTTTTTTGTGCATGTGAATGCATTTAAAAATCAGGGGAAAGTTCATCAACAGGAAAAACTCAGATTAGAAAATTGTATTGATCCTTAGCGGGGTTTAAATCCGACCTCGGCCCTTTGCTGCATGTCACCCAACTCCTGTCGCTCCTCCCACATTTCCTTTCTCTCAGCTGTCCTATCCAGTCCTGGGTGTGTGTGTGTGTGTGTGTGTGTGTGTGTGTGTGTGTGTGTGTGTGTGTGTGTGTGTGTGTGTGTGTGTTTAATTACCTTCTCAGGACATTGATTTCGTTTTCCAGATTGCTATGGGTAAGGTGTTTCTTCTTCAGACATTTCAGGGCGTACAGTTCGCCGGTCTTTCTTTCTCTCACCATGAACACATCTGAAAATGTTCCCCTGCAAACACAAAACAACAACAACAACAAAGTTAGACAAGTGGAATCAGTCGGGTTGCTGGCTTAGCTCTGCACCGTTATTGGTCGATATCGAAACCCTCCATGAGATACTTTAATTAGATTCATGAACAGATTGGCGTTTATATTCTTATCTCCAAGTCTACCTCAGGTCTGCTTCCTTCAGACCTCCTGACCTCCATCAGTCAGACGAGTACAGAGACTTATGACCTTTGACCCCAGGACCATTTCTCACTGCTCTTTCAAAGTCAGAACTGACCTGGGTGAAAAAGTTGTTTAAGTTTTCTGTTCCCTTTACTCTGAACGAATCACAAACAGAGCTCAGATTTAACGAGCTGCTCTGATTGGAAGATTTTAAGAGGATGTTAAATGACTTGGAGGAGGACAAATCTGGATGCAGATGTTCTGCTTGATGTGTTTGAATTTGACATTTGCTGTTTAAATTTGTTATTTTGCGCATTTTAAAGTTGAATAATTATGTTTGGATGTGTGGCTGCTCGTTTGTCTGAAACTCTTTCCTGATTTTTGCCTCCAAAATTACAGAGACCATCAAGACTCTAACCTTTTAAATGAAAAGCCCAACCTGGTGTAATATCTGACTTGACTTATTTTCTCACCTGACTGCTGGTTTATGTTTAAATAATTCTGCTGCAGGTCCACCTGTTGTTGTTGTTTTTAAAGATAAATCAGGAATATCATTCATACTTGTTAATGCAGGCTATATTTGATAGACGACACCCTTTTATGTAAACGTATATAAATAAAACTAGAACAACCGAGTGTTTTATCAATGTGATGTTGATGCCAAACAACCTCCAGGTATAGACTCTAAGACTTGCAGGCTTTCTTCACATTAACACCGTGTGACCTCGACAGATCAGAGACGTCTTGGCTCTGATTCAACACGGTATGTCTTTCTTTAGGCTCTCACTGAGAACTCCTACTGCGTGTCGTTGTTGCTATCTTATTTTGTCACGAAAAAAGCATCTTGAATCGAGATCCTACGGTGGCTGGGAAGTGCAAACCAAAAAATACAAGAAGAGTGTGACATACTTTAGCAAAGCTTGAGACATTTTGGTTTTTAGAACAAAATTATGAAACACTTCTTACCACGGACAAAACAAATCTGTATTTTAGATTTACAAGATGTGAAACCCTTTCACAAGAGGTGACCCAAGTTTACAACCGGCAGAACACTTCTACCAAATCCCCAAACTAATTTACAAACCACAGAATCTTGGCTGAAAGTGAATGTACCAAATGTGGAAGTGACCCGACTGAGTGAGCCGTCAATTAGTTTGATTTGCCGTTATTTTATGGTGACTGAATGATGTTTTTGTCCGTTTTTTTGGAACCCACCGGAGACAGTTAACACACGGTCTTTCCGTCAAAACGAATGAATCGACCGCTCACTCAATCACTTACGAGTCACTTCCTGCATTTGGTAAATATTCCCTTTCCAGCGAGATTCTGAGGTTTGCAAATTCATTTTGGGGATTGGTAAAAGTGTTCTGCCGATTTGTAAATTTATCTCTGTGGTTTTTTGCATCTTGTAAAAAAAATCAAAATCAAAAATGTAATGTTTTGTCTGTGGTAAAAGTGTTTTGTTTTTGTTATTTTGTTTATAAAATGTAAAAATATTTATCCAAATGTAAATGTGTCTCAAGCTTTGCAAAAAGCGTTTCAAAGTTTTTGTAATTTTGGTTTTCCACCGTAAAGGTTGGACGAACAAATACAGTTTCTTAACAAAAAAATAAACTCTACTTTGCATTTTGTGTGTGGTTAAAACTTATTATTCACAACTTATTTCTAATTTAAAAGCAGGAAAATAAACATTTTCTGATTTAAAAGTCTTTATGGATCATATGTGGGGGATTTTTAAAACACTTTGCATCTGAACAAAAAGAAAGCGAGGCATCCTGTGACAGACATGAGCTCATGCCCACATGCTACTAACACTGAAAACAGCTCTCCATTATTTATGGATTTACAGTACAGCAACAGATGTGTCGACTCAATCACGTTTGTACACCTCATGTGTACAAACATACACCTGTACCTGCTTATATCCCCCCTCCTTTACATCCATTACACCCACACACCAATATAGACAGTCAGACTCTTAATCTTTTAATGAAGTGGTGCTAGGATGTTCCTGCACTCACTGCAGTCTGACGTCAGTTCCCTAAAACCTCCTCAGGCAGCACACACACACACACACACACACACACACACACACACACACACACTCATTCACAGCCAGTCAAAGGTGGAGCCCTTTAAGCAGCTTCCAGGCTGCTGGACGGCCCTGTGGAAGCGACACCTTCAGGTAACACCTTGAGCAGGTCGTCGACTGATCAAGGATATAAAGCCAAGCTGGTGTGAATACATTTCTTTGACTTCTGCTGATCAACTTAATTCGGGGAGCCAAACATTTGCAGATTTGACACACCGGATAAATCACACACAAGCTTGATTATAGACTGTCACAGATTTCTGTTAATTCATTTAAAATACATAGAGTAGCATGGAAAATTTTTACAATATTTGACTGTCTTCAAACCGCCTAAAGATGTCATGATGTCCCTCATTAGCGGGCTCAGCTGTGACTGGATTACACGGACAGTGTGAGAGGCTCCATTGACAAAACAACGTGTCAGTGAGAACATGAAAGGATTATCCTCACCATGTAGATCGACAGCTTCCATCTAAATTCAGTCACAGCCCTCTGAACTATAGAAGAATAAATCAATGTCTATAAAGCACACAGGCTTCTTTGTGTTGCCTTTCTGACTAAACCATTCAAGTCATTGCTCAGCACACTTTCTGTCTGAATTCTGCTCCTCATGGTGATTCTAGAGTTTGGTGGGGCCCTATAGGCAAAAAAACATTTGGGGGGCCCTCAACCCAGCAGCGTTCATCACCTTTATGTCTGCCCGTGTCCCAACGCTTACTCTTCCTCTTTTTTCCTGTTTCTTTTTTCTCTCCTAAATTCCTCTTCATTCTTCTTTGTTTACTTTCATTGACATTCATCTGTTGACAAAAAGTGCCTCAAGAAGCAGACCGTTCAGGTACAGTCTGGTTCTGCGTACCACTAAAGGATTCAGTGGTGGTACAGAATCCTGGAAAGAGGGGAGAGCAGCTGCCTGCCAAAACGAACATCCAAAACCAGTCACAGTCGCACTTTCAACCAGGAAACCCATTTGCTAACGTTAAGTCATCTTAAGCAACTCTCTGTCTCCTTATTACTGCTAGTTAACGTGACTGGAGCTCCTACCAGTGCCGCTGCAGCGGACTGTTTTTCAGTGATGTGGGGTTTCTTGCTAAATCTCCCAAAAGTGAAATGTGAAGCAGAATAAGATGCGATCGTTCATGATGTTCTGTTTTATTTCCAACATCACAGACAGCAGCTCAGACCAGCTGTGTGTGAGGTGACCATCAGGGATGCTGTCATACTGTTGGAGTGAACCATGATCACCCACCAATATCTGCTAAGATGATACATAACTTAATAAAATGATGACTGTACTGAATTCCCACTAGGGGGCAGTAATAGCCAGGTTAATGAGGGAGAATAGATGGACACTATATAGGACGACTTTACAGTTCAATGTTTTGAGATATGTTGCTATTCCATGAGGGACTCAAGGACGCTAAATCAAATAAGATCCCAGACTAGTGCGAGCAAAATCTCAGCTATGACTTCCAACCTGTTTATCAAATATCAGTTTGGAGTAGCATGGTTCAACAAGTACACAATTGACACGCACGCCATGACATAACAGTCTAAGACGTTACCTCATAACAGTCTTAAAAATGGGTTTCTCTCTCAAGCCAAGTTTCCACCAAGCGGTCTGGTTTGGTTCAGTTTGGGACAGTAAACCCTGATCTTGCTTGCGTTTCCACAGCCAACATAACCTCACTTGGTGAGTGACGATTCTTTCAACCAATCACCAGACTGCAGTGTCTCCACTCTTAAGGGTCAGATCGGTACTCTTGGCTCCCCAACAGAAGGGAAGTAGAAATGTAGGGCAGTGCAGATCATTTTTTGGGGTAGCATTCCCAACGTTTGACGGTAGAAATGGCAATAAATGTCTACTGTACCAAAACATACTGAACTGGACGGCTTGGTGGAAACGGGGCTCATGGCTAACCTTTTGCCTTTCTCAGGAAGAGACGCTGGAAGGAGAGAACCGATACTTCTGTTAGATCTATCAGAGTAAACAAAACGTCACCCGGAGGATCAGACTGCAACAGCTGACCTAAACCGGACCGCTTGGTGGAGAAATCAAATCTCAACTTTCCAAAAGAAAATTCTTCCCTTAATTTGTTCAATAGACATGGAACATGTTTGTCTTAGATTCCATTTACATACTGATGTTCTCTATCAGCACCACTGTTTTGCAATTATCAATGGGGAAGTTCTTCTCTTCTTTAAGTACACACACAGAAATACAAAAGTCCCTCTCTCTCCTCTGTCTGAACTGAATTGTCATCATCAGTACTTACGATCCCATCTTCCCCAGGAATTCAAATACATCCTTGATGTTATTTGTGCTTTTCTTCCAGCTGCACTTGATCTCTTTCCGCCCCATCTCGGCTCTGACGTTGCCGTAGACTCCTGAGGAAAACATGAAAAATGTTTAACATTCCTTAAAGGGGACCTATTATGAAGAATCCTCTTCTATAGTGTTTTTGAACATATATCTGGGTAACCTGAGAGTCTACTGACCCACAAAATGTGAAATAAACCCATCCAGTCCTTTGTTTGTGGTCTGCATAAGTCTTACAACACAGAGAAAAATGCTCCGTTTCAAACGTGCTCTCCTTGTGATGTCACAGTGGGATTCTGGTAAAAAAAAAAAAAAAAAATCTCCTCCCCTCCCCTGATAGCTCCACCCATGGACTCCACCCCCAGCCTAGAACAAAACTTTTGCACAGGTCCGCCATTTTTATTCTCTCTACAGAGGAGTGATGTCTACCGGGAAAACTCAGGGGGAGGGGTCATTGCATTTAAAGAGACACACACACCAAAACGGAGCGTTCTGAGAGAGCTGGTTTATACAGGGTCACAAACCTCCTCTGGTGCTTGATTCATGTTGTATTTTGACCAAAGCACAGCACAGATGTTTCATTTTGACCACAGGAGACTGTTTGAAAAGGTGGAAAAGGGGGATAATATGTCATCTTTAAGGGTTCAATAAAAAGAAGGATTTGTCTTTCATGAGTGGGAAGTCACCAGTGTTGCTTAAAGTAACAGTAAACAATCTTAATGTGGTGCTAACGGGGCTCTTGTTGTAGGATTTTGGTGCAGCCATTACATGTGATAACTACTTAGGCATGTTTGAACAGTGATTTGGGGAGTGTTCAAAGAGTCTAAATATTTAAAACTTCATTAAATCAAATGAAGGACAGAGAGAATAAATATCTGATGCACTTCACAGAAAGAATCCAGATGTTAACCAGCAGTGGAATAAGTCATTAAACATTGCTTTTTGACATTTCCTTCAACTTTGAATATAGATTTTTTTTTTAAAAAGACTTATCCATATTTTGATAACTCATAATCCTTTCACTCGTTGTTTTCCTCACAGTTCCAGCGTCTTCAAAGTGAGCTTTTCCTCTGAGAGTTTTTATGAATTTATTTTGTGGTTTAGAACTGTTGCTTGGACAAGACGCAATCTCATCTCTTTGAGCGCTTTGATTCCCCCGCCCTCCATTTCTTAGATTAAAGATGAACATAAGTATGAGAGTGAAACTAATCACCACAATAATAGATAAATAAACATTAGTTGTAGCTCCATCGGCCTCCTGCTGCATCATTTCTGTGGTAGTCTATCATCTCGGAGTACATCTTCATGTGTTATGTTGTTTGTTAGATTTGGTCAAATCCTGTCCGCTGATGATCTCAGCCTCTGACTCACATCTTAAGCTGATTATCGAGCTGCTCTCATTGGATGATTTTAAGAGGATGTGGAGGCGGGCACATCTGTCTGTATGTTCTCCCTGATGTGTTTGTGTTGGATCTTCACAAAAATATGCTTTTTAGATTTGTTATTTGTGTCTAACAATCAGTATGTGTGACTGCTCGTTGTTTGTGTGATACTCTGTAAATCGTGCTGCTTCCTGTCTCGGAGAAGAGGCTCTTAAAAAATAGATGTCTTAATCTCAACAAGTTTCTTTCCTGGTTAAATAAAGGTTAAATAGGGGCGCCGGTAGCGTAGTGGTTAGTGCATGTGTCAGGCGGCCCGGGTTTGAATCTGACCTGTGACCTCTTTCCTGCACATCATTCCCCACTCCCTCTCTCTCTCTCCCTGAGTTCCAGCTCTATCACTGTCCTATCTCTACATCGAAGGCACAACATGCCCCAAAATAAATCTAAAAAATAAAATTGAATAAAATTAAAGTAAAAAAACATCTGGCTTGTGTGGTTCTCAGGTTTCAGGGTACCCAGGTCTCTTCACCTGCAGAGCTGCTTTTAACTATTTTTCAGCTCACTGTGCTCGTGTCATCTGCAATACTTAGGGCTGTAGATTGCATTCTTTATTTCTCTGTAGGCATATTTGACAACCTTTGTTCCATCAAAATAAAGGAATTTACAAAAGAAACATCCCCATCATGATAATATTTTTGCAGGTGAAGCTTCAGTGTTTCGATGTGTTTGCTGTAAAATGTGGTGTTGGGTGGAATAATACATGTAAACATAGTCATTGTCTGTAGCGCCTGCCCTGATCTTGTCCTATCTTTTCTATAAGTGTTTGATCCATATTTAAGCCATCAATGTAATGAATGTGAATGTCTATATTATCTATCTCTCTACAGATTGAACACAGATCTAAGAAAGATATCGGCCGATATATCGGTATCAGAATGTTTTCTCCCAGCGATCGGTATTAGTACCAAAAATCCCATATCGGTCGATCCCTAGTTTTCAAAAGTGCAAAAGGCTTCAGAAAAGTTGTTTGGAAATTATTGCAGGAGAGAAATCCTTTCTTTGGGAACAAGAGGTTATGTTAATGTAACTTTAAGGATAAAGAGATGAGGAAAACTTCTCAGAAATTCATGTTTTTTTGATGTAATAAAGTGGACTGATCAGATTTATCTCCTTCAATAAGTTCTGCTCTGGTGGTCTCAGTTTTTCTTGACTCCTGGCCACAGCCTGAACCCCAGGGATCACAGAGGGTTTGTTATCTGAACCTAACTTTCCTCTGGATACCACAACCCTGAAAGATGCCCCCCCACCTTTCTCTTAATGTTCTGGTTACATAAACAGTAGCATGAGGTCAGCCCTCGCTCGGCAGGCTAAAGCCCGTTTGTACCTATCAGTTACACAAGACTCAGAAAAGCAGCGGATTAGTGAGTTAAATACCCGTGTTAGTTAATCTCCCAGCCCTCCCTCCCTCCTTCTCATCTCCCCTATTCCTTCCTTGTGTCTGTTGTGGGAACAGATTAGGAGGCGAATCCTTAACAGGACAAAAAAACTGGGTCGTTTTCTAATCTTGGCCTTGACGGGCCGATGAACTCTGGCCGTGTCCAGAAATATGTTAAAGACCACAGCAGGGTTAGCTGAGTCTGAAAGTGATTTGAAATATTATGACATTCATGAGAGACTCAGGAAATCATTTGCAAACATATCTGATTTAGTTTTTAATTAAGTCTATGTTTGTCAAGATAATCAGGACACATTCTCACTTTCATAACAGGAGGTCAACCCATTAACAGGTATTCATTCAGATTTAATTGAACATCTTTTTAACCCCTACACACAGTCACAGTCAACAGAAAACAGATATTCAACTTGTACAGCCCCTTAACTGAAAAAGGCTTCCTGTACTGTCTCCATTTTAATTTAAGTGTTGCATTTATTTGTGTTCAGTGGTAATAATTGATTTGCTTTTAAAACCATTAAAGCTACCTTCAAACAAAAGGAAATAAATCTAAAATCAAGCACCTGAAAGTCATCCAGAATCAAAGAGCTTAAACATATAAACTGATTATGATGGGGTTTTTTTTTTAGCTGTCTTTGTCCCTTAATGATCCCAACAATATCAGAAACAGCCAAATCTGCTGCAGTGGTAAATGCATAAAACTGAGGATATCACAACATGAGACTTTAAATTAGTCGTCCTATTACAAAATCTATCCGTATGTGAAAAGGATATAACCTTAATCTGCGGAGAGGAAAGTGCATGCATTTGCAGCAGAGAGAGAGAACGAGCTATTTTTAAACTTCTTAAATTCACAAAGAGAGACAATCAATCTGAACAAAGACAAACGTATTCATGCAGCTTGAACATGCCAACAGTAACATGTCTAAAACTAAAGAGAAAAACGTGAATAAAGGTGGTTTTCTTTTCTTTACCTGAGGAGCGGTGAAGAGATGCTTGAGTTGAGGTATCCTTGCAAGTACCTGGCAGCTTCAAGGGAGCTGCAGCCGTTCACGGGCAGCTGTGGGCGGAGCCTAGTCCACTCATTAGCCTCAGCAGCTTCTATAATACTGTACATCCATGCTCAGCAGTCATTCAACGTGTTGCATTCAAGGACACTTAAACTGCTGCATGTCACGAACAGCAGATTTAAACAAAACAGAACTCTTCTCTGTTTTAGATTTCTAGGGATGTCTCTAAATTGTTTTTTCCTTATTTCAGTGTAATAATTCGTATTTCAGAGAGAGTCTTTCTCATTTCACCTTGACATATGTGCAAAATTGTTTTCTTTCTACAAGAATAAAGTGACCATCTTCTTGTCAAGTCAAGCCAATTGTATTAACATGGCACATTTACAACAACCAAGGCTGACCAAAAGTGCTTTACAGAGTAAAAAAGGGTCCAAAAATACATCATAAGTTTATGTGAAAATAATAACATGTATTGGAGATAAAAATCAATGAATGAATATAAAGTAGCCTAGTTCTAAAATATGTTGGGATAAAACTTTCTCATCGTGAAGGGAAAGCTAAAAAGCAGAGATAAGTTTTCAACATGGATTTTAAACACTCCGGGGTCGAGGCAGATCTCATGTGAAGTAAACTGTTCCATGGTTTTGGTGAAAAAAGCTGCTCTTATTTTGAAAATCTCCTTGAGCACATGAAACATATCAAGCTGCATCAAATGATATACAGTGGTGATTCTACAGTCTGTTGGGGCCATAGGCAAAATTCACTTGGGGCATTCATTGCCATTATGTTAAAAAATAATCTGACACCAACGGCAACTTTAAGTGACCAGCTGAAGTTTTTGCAGGAATATTGGAACGCTTGAGTATTGTCAGATGGGGCCCCCTGAGGGAGGTTTCCTACTGTCATTGTAAAATTTGCACATTCTGAGCCACTGCTATCGTCTAGAGTTTTGCAGTCCTCGGATGGCCCCCTACTGGTCAGGGGCCCCAAGCAGCTGCCTGCCTTGCCTGTTAACAAGCAGCGCCTCTGATTATATAGGAGAAAGCGGCGGTGCGTTGCATGTTTTTGGCAACAGATTTGAAATACTCTGGAATTTTCAGTCAAATTTGAAGATGTTGACTCGAACTGAGCTGCAGTTAAAATGTTTTTGATTGGTGCTTCTTGTGTTGCATTCTGTGATAACTTAGAACACCTGCAATTAACCGAATCAGTGTCTTGTTTCATTTTATAACAAACTTTTCTTTAAGCTCAGAGAGTCAAAAAATGACTTTTAAAAGACTTTAAGTTTGAAACCCTCTTAGGCCTTTGGGATCATCAGCTCAGCCATTTTTGGCAGTATTAAAAATAATCTTCAAACTCAATTTAATCAAATGGAGAGAATGAAATATGTGATGTGCTCTCCATAAAGAAATCCAGATGAAAATCCAGCTGTAATTAAAGCCATAACAAGAGAAAGGGGAATTTATTAAAATCTTGGTTGATCTAAATTTGACAGTCTGCTTTTTAAAAAAAATTACATTACAAGTCTTGAGATAAAAAAAAAAAACCTCAGCAACAATATTTTCACTGTGTTAGATTTTCACTGCACGAGATCACACATGCTTAATGCCGGTGTAATTAGTTCACACACATGCAGTGCACCCGTCTGCCATACTATTTACAACATCTCAACATATGGCAAATAGCTCTCCAGGTAAGCCTCTTTCAATGATGCACAATAAGGACTGTATATGTGCCTTTGTTTCTGCAGTTACAGCTGTTCACATCGTCCTTGTACACATGCTATCCATTCTTACAAGTTTTCAATGTGCAAACTGTTCCAGTTTTGCTTCAGCCCTGTTTTTCAACCAGTATAACCTTGGAAATGGCACGATTTGGATTTCCCCCCCATTCCAAAATTCAACTGGTTCCTGCTTCACTCACGCACAGTCTTAAGGTGTACAATGCTGCAGGGGAAGGTATGATGGCACAGCTAAGCTGGTTATATCAGCAGCTAAGGGAAACAAGAAGGCTTAGGCCAAATGATTATGCAATTGGAACCATGCACACTTTATGCACCTCCACTTTTACCCATGTACCATGCGTGCCTTGCACTTTGCATGTTTTATGCATTGTGTTTTAGTGACTCTCCCTGCAACCAAATTTACCTATGGCTACAAATAAAGTAACAAGAATGTGAACCTGAACAACCTCATCATGAGTTGAAAATACATGTGACATTTAAGAACCTATAAACAGTTGAGGAAAAAAATCTGTAATTAGATCTGAATATAAAAAAATAAAAAAGCGTTGACCTTCTGAAGTTGTGTTGTTTATATATGTACAGCAATGTTTTAAAAAGCAGATATTGCAGAGTTATCAAAAACAGACATTAAATAACACATTTTATATGTTTATATCATTTTGCAATTAATTTATATTACAAGAAGAACTTATATTGAAAACAATTGAATGCACTCAACACATGACCTGCTTAGAGTTCATATTTTAATGTGCATAAATGCAGCTCTAGCTTAGCTTTTTATTTTATTTTATAGAAATAGGATAGGATAGGATAATACTTTATTGATCCCCAGAGGGGAAATTTGGGCGTTACAGCAGCATAGACAAGAAAGCTCACAAATACACATTAAACAGAATAGATAAGATAATTAAAAATAAAAATAGAAATAAAAACAGGGGGTATATACAGTACAAAATGAATGATGAAGTTAACTGGGGGGAATTGAGAATTGAGACAGTATTTGCAGAGAATGACAAGATAAAGTGATGATTAAAGTGACTTGGTATGATGAATAGCAGCAAGTAATGTAAACAGCAGAGAAGAGAGGCAGTGTTGTACCACAGTAATGCAGAGTGCAGTTATATAATATAATGCAGTAAATTGTATTTAATTAATTACTTTTTTTATTGCAAATGAGTATTGGCCTATTTGATCCTCCATAATTAAATATGAAGTATTGACGTTTAAGACAAAAAAAATGCATACTGGTTAATATTAAATATGAATGAATAACGAAACATTTTGTCTTCTTTGACCCACAGAAAGCGGCGAGTGCGCGCGCATCCGGTCCTGCCTCCAGTCATAACAAAAACGACGTCGATGACGTCACAACTTGACGTCGTGTTGCTTTTGAGCGGAGAAATAATATATTTATAAATTGACGTAAGGGCGCTAAATCTAAAATAACCCGTGAATAAAATGTGAAAAAAATTCATGAAAACATTTTTTTTTTTTAGCGGGGTTGTTGGTGGCGGTGAAGCAGCTGCACGCATGAAAGGTTCGAAAAAAAAAACAAAAAAAACAATTTGACCTTAAAACAGAATAAAGTCGTAACGCGGCGTCAGGAAGCGTTTCATGGAAAACACAGGGAACTAGCTGCTAGCGCTGCCGGGGAGCTAGTTAGCATTAGCATGGGGCTAGTAGCTGCTCGCCGTGTGACTCCGCTAACTCGGCTTCTCGTTACAAAATGTACCTCAGCGCTGTGTGCGGTGTAGCGACGTGTGGTTTAGGCTTTAACACGAACGAGTTCAACAGGACAGTGAAGGAGTAACTCCGCTAACGCCAGGTAGACAGGTGTGTTAGCACGACGTCAGCTAGCGGAAAAGGTTGACGCTGCCAGTGCTTTAGCCGCTCGTTAGCCGGCTATGTTACAGTTTGAGTTAACCTCGGTGCTTCTTCTCTGTAACGACTCCTCACGTCTCGCCTCTTGTTGTTGTTGTTGTTGTGTGGTTGTTAGCCTTGTAGGAGCATGGCGCCCCGCTTACAGCTGGAGAAAGCGGCGTGGCGTTGGGTGGAATCAGTGAAACCAGAAGAAATCCGATGGGAACACATCGAGTTAGCATACCGAGTGAACCTCCCGGCCTGCAAGAGAGGAGCCTGCAGGTACCAACAATCACCTTTTTTACAAACAACAAGCCTCTGCACTGCTTTAATAATAACACCAGCATGTGTTTAAAAATGATTTAAAAAACTATTGGCTGTTTTATTTTGGTGTTTTTTCCCCCCCATTAAAAACACTCAGATTCGATGCTAGATTGACATTAAATAATCACCACACTGTAAAAAATCTTACGAAGTGTTTTTGTCTAATTCCGAGTTAAAAGATTCACTTTTCTCCCCGGTGTCAACACCAGAGAGTTAGAAAACAAATGCATAAGTCGATAATTGTCTCTCCTCATTGTAAACCTTTTTTGAAACATTAATTTTTCTACAGTTTCTTTAAGTTTTTTTTGCTTAGTTTGATTTCATCTCTCAATCCTCATCCTCACAGGTTGTTATGCACACACTCTTTGTTGTTGTTCCTCTGTCTTTGAAAAACTATTTTTGCATATTAGTAGAAAGTCATGCATTATTTGTGCTGTGTTAATCATCAACTTTTATTATTAGACTCAAGGTCCATTTTAAAAGACATCCAATGCAAAAAATAGACAACACACATTTACATTAGAATTAAAACATTCCCGCCTCTTATAAAAGTCACTTATACCAACGTCTCCAAAGGTATGACTGGTAGCGTACTGCACTATAACTTGGGTTCGACAGCAGCATTATAATTACATTCTTTGAGTCATTCAAGCGACCGATAAATCTGTACATCAGGTTCCTCAATAAAGCTTGTGAGGTGTTAACTCCTGCATTCACAAATAGCTCACTTGCACGACTCCACCTTGGCTTTTTAAGTAAGATCCTAAAACAATCATTGTACGCAACCTGAATTCTGTGCATACTTGATTTGAGTCCTACTGGATCCCTGAATGTCAACATGTGTGATTTTTTTAAAGAAGAAGACGTTGGTGTGTTCACGGTATAATTCATGCTTTGCTTCTGCAGAAGGAACTGCAAAGGGAATCCCAGCTGTCTCGTGGGTATCGGTGAACAGGCATGGCTCGGGGAGATCGACGAAAATGCGTTCCACAACATCGATGACCCGAATTCAGAGCGTCGAGACATGGTACGTCGAGTTGGCTCACCTTGTTGTTGAGCGGGGAGCTCGTGAATCTTTTAGGGGCGATCAAAACACCGAGCAATGTGATTATTCTGTAGTCCTCATATCTGTCAGAAAATCAATGTTGAACCAGTGAATATCTAAATGTCTCTCTTGTTTTCGTCTCTTGTTCCTTTTTGTAGAACACATTCGTTGGCCTGACCAACCTGGGTGCTACATGTTACGTTAACACATTCCTGCAAGTGTGGTTCCACAACCTGGAGCTGCGTAGGAGCCTCTATCAGTGCCACAACTCCAGAGCCCAGGAACACAACTCTGAATCAGGTATATCTCAAAACCAAATATTGGGGATGCATCTGTTTTGTTTTCTCTCGTTTCCTAGTTTGACTCAGCATGTTTTAGGGACAAATGTTTTCACCGTTTTTTTTTTTTAAACCACTTAAAAAGGAGTGCATGAACCAACAGCTACTGGTATCAATCTGCTGGTTTCACTGTCACCACAAGTTAAATTCAAGCTCTCTCACTATTGTGCTCAGTGTACTGATTAGTACAAACTATAGCTACACATCATTTTAGGTTAGAGACCAGAACAGAATATGTTGCTGCGTTTTCTCCGTTTTGTTGATCTTTAAACTTACAAGGTTGCACACAGATGACCGGCTGATGGTTGTCTGAAAGACGACAGAAGTGAAGACGAGGCTAGGATGAATTCTCAAATCTTAACTTGTATTTTTCTATCCTTTCCAGATCATGCAAACTTTACTCACTCAGATTGCTGTCTCCCTCTCTTTCAGATTACGAGCCTCAGTCCATCAGTGAGCACCTGCAGTATCTGTTTGCACTCCTGCAGAATAGCAACAGAAAGTACATCGACCCTTCAGGGCTGGTCAAAGCGCTGGGCCTGGACACGGGACAGCAGCAGGTAAATCACGTCGAAGCCCTGCACCTTTTTTTGTATAAAAAATAACTTTCTTCACGGGTGCAAATCACATTATTGTTTTCTCCTTACGTGAGTATTATGTTCAGTATTTTTTTCTCTCTGAAGCATTTTATTATATTGAAATGGTCAAAATTAACATGAAAGGCAAAGTCTTGTTATTAAACAAACTGTCAACCAGATGATTACCCAACTCCGACCCAACAATTCCACCAGATACGTGTGCATTGCATGTCCGCTCCAGTACGACTCGTTCTCCCTCGTCCGTCTAACACCCCCAGGCTGCGTTCTCAGGCCGTTGAGACCACAGCCGTCAGCTGGCGTGCGGAGACAAAGGAATTCTCGCTGTAATTTTACAGATTCACGACAGTGTGTGATAATACAGTGTATGTGTTATAAATCTCTATATAAACCTTATAAACACATAAACAGACACACTTAAGGTCATCGTTCTGAACTGTCAAAACGGAGTGTTTTATTCTGAAAAGAATCCGGATGTTTTAATGTTGTTGCGGTGTCTGACTTACTGTCCCGCTCGATCTCCTCTGTGGGAAATTGATCCAGCATTGGGAAAAAATAGAAGCCTTGGGTATCTGCTACAGAGGGATCTGGACTGCCAGAGCAGAGACGGAGCTAGTGCAAGCACACACATTGGATGAAGTAAAGCTGCAGGAGTGGAGACGGACAGAAAACGCATCTGTTGAAATTTAGGCTTTACACTCATCGGAGTCGACACACAGAGAGTTGGAGTGAGCGTGTTTATTAGTAGTTTTGTTTGGTTTCTTTGCGGTGCATGATGTATGCTAACATTTCCTTTTCAGGATGCCCAGGAGTTTTCAAAGCTCTTCATGTCTCTGCTGGAGGACACGCTGTCCAAGCAGAAGAGCCCCAGCCTGCAGAACGTCATCCAGCAGCAGTTCTGTGGACAGTTCTCCTATGTCACTGTGTAAGTCCAGTCAGTACTTTAACCTTGTGTCATTTTAAAATGTTCCACTATGTTGCTTATACCATTGCAAAGACACCAACAAAGCTGAATTCTTCTTGAAAAATTTGCTTAAGTGTCGATTTCCCTGATTTATTTACAGACAGCATGACTTTTTAAAATGTGTAGGTATCAGTAAGGAGAAAAAAAAAGAAGGATCAGCTCACATCTGTTTTAGACTGTGGTCAAATCTGTGAACTTGTTTTGACTCTTTTTAAAAAAAAAAAATTTATGCAGCTGTAACCAGTGTGGACGATCATCTGCGTTGCTCTCCCGATTCTACGAGCTGGAGCTGAACATCCAGGGCCACAAGAACCTCAATGAGTGTGTCACAGAGTTCCTGAAGGTAACTTTCATACAACACATCATCAAGAATGTTACAAATGGACAGACAGCAGAGTAAAAAACTTAAAAGGAAAGAGCAAATCCCTTACTAGCTTTGCTTAATGAACGCTAATCAGAGTAGTGTAGACCGCAAATGAATTCAATGAAGAAGAAGAACGCGACATGGTAAATAAAGGGCAACTATAGAGAACGTCCAGAAGAGGGCTGCACGTCTGAGGTCGTCCATGGGGCGGTGCTACACGCTGACATTAGTTAAAAACAAACATGCAGCATTTTGTGTTTGTCCTTTTTATTACCGCCGTCACACCGGTAGGGTCGATTCTTTCAACCAATCAACAGGCTGCTGTGTGTCTAGCTGCAGCCTTTAGGGTTGGATCTGTACGCTTGGCGATCCCAACAGAAGGGTAGCCAAAAAGTAGGACGGTACAGATTAGTTGTTTTGCGTCCTTTACCAAGTTTTGTCAGTGGAAACGACAATAAATGTGTACCGTACAAAAACAACCTGAACTGGACTCTCTGTGGAAACGCGGCTCATGGCTAACCGTTTGGCTTTCTCAGGAGGAGAAGCTGGAAGGAGAGAACCGATACTTCTGTGAGAACTGTCAGAGTAAACAAAACGCCACCCGGAGGATCAGACTGCACAACCTCCCTCCAACAATCAACCTGCAGCTCATGCGCTTCGTCTTCGACAGGTCTGCCTCCAACTTTGGAATACTTTCTTATTCAAAGTCTATTCAGGGGGCTTTTGATGGGGAATAAAAAGGACGGGAATAAAAATAACAATAAGTGCGTTGGTGGATTTAATTGTTTTTTCTTTGACAGACAAACGGGCCACAAGAAGAAGCTCAACACCTTTATCAGTTTCCCTGAGCAGCTGGACATGGGGCCTTTCATGGAAGGACTACAAGGTGTTTAACGTCATGAATCTATATCTCAAACACACACACATAATCTGCACTTTCAGTCAGAGCCTGCTGACACACTGGGGGAAAATAACATATCCCACAGTGTGAAATTAGAGAACATTAGATTAGATAAGGGGGTCACACTGCAGACTGTTAACATCCATTTTTGTTTGTTTTCTCCAGGCCAGAACTTTGTTTACGAGCTGAGTGCGGTGCTGATCCATCGGGGCATCAGTGCCTACTCAGGCCACTATATCGCACATGTGAAGGACGCACGCACCGGCGACTGGTACAAATTTAACGATGAGGAAATCGAGAAGATGGAAGGCAAGAAGCTTCAGCTTGGAATTGAGGAGGACATTGGTGAGTCGTGCTAAATGTGTTCCTCTCTTATACCTGCCTTAGTATGTTTACAATACACTGTTAACAGATCGTCCTAAAGGCTGCGGTTAGGCTCGTGTCACAAATTGATGTTTTAGTCACTACACATCGACTTACTGGATATCTCAGAATTCATTCTAAATAACTGGTGCCTACAGTAAATAATGCTCCTCTTGCACCCTCACAACACAAGGCAAGGTTTTCAAAATTATCATTTGAATGCATTTACATGGACGCCTGATTATGAGAAATATGATTTTGCTGCCTGAAGAAAACAGGATACTGTGGCATGAATACACCTTGATCCGGTTTCTGACAGCTGCTGACTACAATAGGATATATCTTTATTGTATAAATAAAAACAACGAAAAAAGTTAAGCAGCTCTTGTCATTTGCAGCACACACAGACGGACGGTAAAAATGATAATGTAAACATTAACATCACATCAACCTACCTGCGCAGGCTCAGCCACAGCCAAGTGACGCATCATTAGAACAAACATGGCGACGGCAACGAGAGCGTCTTCCTTCTGGAGTGACAAAGAAACTGAGTTTTTTCTTTGGGTAATGAAATAGTTCAATATAATTGGAATTTAGAGGTAAAGATAAATCATCTAAATGCGCACCTGTTCAAGTCTGTGGTGAACAGACCCAATACATATGGTTGCCATGGTTTGTGTTGCGGGCGCCTGTGCAGTTAGGATGCAGTAATCATGAACCAGGACAGTAGTATTTAACGTGTATACAGGGATATGAAAACCAGGTTTCACTGTGTGCATGTTAACTATATCTAGTAATCAAAACCGGGATCAGCTCATATCGCGGGATACTCAAGTCCATGTAAACACACTGTTTGTTGACATTATGCTTGGCCATCCGTAGCTCCTAAAACTTAAAATGGCCTCCCTATAACACTCATTTAATCTGACTGGTTTTTACAAAACAGGTAAGATCTCCTTTGTTCAGAGTCTGACATTTCATGTTGTAACTTTTGTTCTTGTCTTTTTTTTTTTTTTTAGCTGAGACAGTAAAATCCCAAACACGAAAGCCAAAGTGCAGTAAAGGCTACCACTGCTCCAGAAATGCCTACATGCTGGTGTATAAGATCCAAGAAGAGGAGAGCTCAGAAACCCCAAGGACCAACGTCGAGGTGCCAAGTGAGTCCTGGAATTTAAACTTATTTAAACCATAGCCTGCAGTCTGGTTCATGTCCCCTTGTCTGACGTCTCTCTTACCTCGTCCTCGCTCCCAGCCTTCCTTCA